CTCTCTCTCTCTCTCTCTCTCTCTCTCTCTCTCTCTCTCTCTCTCTCTCTGTGTGTGTGTGTGTGTGTGTGTGTCTCTAAGAGCATCCCACAACACATGAACAAAAATATTGTGCACTTGTTCATTGTTTTTCCTCCGGCTTCATTCATATGCATCTGCCAGTTGTGCGAGTGGATGCTCACAATATGCTCTGGCCATTCAAAATGAATTTACGCACATGGAGTAAACACTGGTGCAGCGGCAGCAGCAGCAATACACATTTCAACAACTGCAATCGCAATATTTGAATCGTTTGTTGTTCTTTCTGTCTCACACACAAAAAAAGCCACAAGCGATTAACTTCTCAGTGGAATCCTTTGATGTTTATCCAAAGCAATTGTTGCACATTTGCAAGGACACTGTACTACGCATCGCAAAATTGTCATTTTCAATAGAGATGCCGTTTCGTTTTCTCTGTATCTATGAACGTGCACATTGATAAAAGTGAAAAGATAACCTTCATTTTTGCGTTTGATTTCATGGCATCAAGGTGGAAACTCCCTTTATTGGGTGTAGTAGATTTCATTGAATACCTTTTTTGAAAAAAAAAAAAAAATATAATCAGGATATCGCTGTGTGTTCAAGAAGAAATTTTTTGATCCGATTTTCGAATCAGACGATTCATTTCGAACACACAGCGACAAATTCGAAATGTGTGTTCTATATATGTTGCGGTGGTCTTTTACTTTTCACACTTTCATGTCATCTTTACATTTTTCTCTCTTGTTACTATTCATTTCAACACTGTATCACCGTGTCAGAGACTACTCGTCTTGAATGTTCGACAAATAACACACACAAAAAAGGTCAACACGTTCCCATTCTATTGTGTGCAGAATTCCGTAACAATATCAAATTCAATAATATTTCCGGTTTAAGGGCTTTGTTTTTTGAAAGTCTTTTGTGTTGTTGTTGTTCTTTCAGGTCGCGCGCGTCCGTTTTTCTTCCTCTTACTCTCTCTCTCTCTCTCTCTCTCTCTGTCTGTCTCTCTCACTTCGCACTCTCGTTCAAAATTGAATCGAAAGGAAGAAAAAACGAACGAACCAAACTGATTTGGTGGAGAAAAAAGAATGAACGGGAGGATTTAATATGTCCTTCACAATGCGTTTGACAATGCGATTGAAATGCCGACCTTTGAGTATATTGGGGCGTTTATTTCCATTCACTTTTTCTTTCATTTTCAAATCCAACTTTTGACTTTTTTGCACACAGACTTTCAATCCCGAATCAAAAATTCAAGCAAACACGGAAACCGCACAATTCGCTCGTACCAACGCACTTTTTGAAGGGCTTTATTTGTCATTAATTTTTAGCTGTATTGATCGGCTCTCCCACCTTTTCTCTCTCTACATAACCATACTGCCGTAAATGTTTATCCAATTAAATTGCCATTTTAACGAGACATAAATAGCAAGAAAAGTCCCATTGAACAGCGTTCAATCGGAATAATATAGCATTTGAGATTTTACAATGATTGCTCGTTTGATATTTTAAGCTGTGGCACATTTTACTCAGAAAAGGAACAGGAAAAAAATGGAAAATTTAACAACTTACCGCCCAAAATGCCATGGATGCTGTAATCCTTTCTTCCGTCATCGTCACGACGATCAGAGCCACGCAACAGTCGATTTATGGATGACACGCTCGGCGGATCCGGAACACCTTCCTGTAATGATCGATTATCAAATTAGCGCATTTATATTAATAATTGCTGGCAGATTGACTTCACTTCGTCCGTCTTTGTTTTGTTTATCCGAGGTGTTGGGTTGCCTCCTCTATTAAGTAATTTCTCCATTCGATTATCGAATGGAAACAAATGTGCATGTGAAAATTGGAAATGAAAAAAAACATAACGATGAAGGCAACAGCCAATTTGTCTGTCTTTGTGTGTCGGTTGTATTGAACAGACTATTATTATCCTTTTAAGTAGGATATTTATGAAATGGTTTCGGGCAAATTTCCAGTTCGCGTCTCGAAATTAATTTGAATTCTATGCACAGGAACGTATGTGTATACAGTTTGTATGAGGGGGGTCGACCGTTGGTTCGATTGGTTTCGAAAATTGTTCGTTCGGCTACTGTATTGTACAATACACAAAGGATGCATTTTTGGTGGTTATCGTTTCGATTTCGTTGTTGTTGTTTTTTTGTTTTTTATTTTCGTTCTTTTTTCGAGCGTAAATAAAAAAAACTATTTAGTATATGCAATCAACACTTTGGTCGACTGGTTGTTTTGTCGTAAAATGTACACCAAAAAATGAATGTTCTTTGTTTGAAGCGGTCGGTCGGTCGTTCGTTCGTTCGATGTGCTATTCAGTTTTCGTGTGTCACGTCCCGACCGATATGAATAGCACTTTTTTTATTGTAAAATGAATCATCAGAATTACAATTAAAAAAAAATAGAAGCACATCACAACAAATTCCAGCCAAACCATACAAGCACAATCGAAAATTCATTTCAACTAATTGTTGATTTATTACGTGCTCCTTGTCGAAATTGTGCGTCATTGTACTCATCACACATTCCGATGCACTTCTGTCTGTTTCTCTCTCTCTCTCTCTCTCTCTCTCTCTCACGCCATCGGAAAATCATTTCATTGAGTATTTTTTAATGAAATGCATTCGTGTCTGCCGGCAAACACATGCTCTTCACGCGGTAGCTACTTGCTCTCATTTGATATAATCGATGACGATGAAAACTAAACGGTTGGATTCAATGGATGGAAAGAGAACAACGTGTACTCTGGGATCCATGAATGAAAATGATTGGTGTATGAATAGCGAAACCCTAATGAAATCGATAGCTGTTGCATGAAATTCAAATCGAAACAACAACAACAACAAAAAATAATAGAAGAAACATACACAGAGAAGCAGACAAGATCATGTAAAAAGTCGCGTCTCGACTAACCTAAATCGTAAATGAACGAGAAAAAAACCCAATCGATCAATACACTTCATTGCATATGGATATTGAAAAACACCGAAGAACCACGAAAAAGCGCGCATCCAGCAAAAACGATTTACGCAAACAAACCAAACGAAGAAAACAAAGTGAAAAAAAAACAGTCATGATTAACCAAGAGAATGAACAGAAAAACAACAACGCTGAAGGAACCAAACAATGTATGCACCGTACCAATCTGTGAATGAATTTGATGATTGGCTGCTTCGATCTTAAGTAGATTCTATTTAAGGACGTTTCGTTCGACGCGTCTCGAACATTTTCAGTTTCGATTACTCCGTCAGGTATTTTTTTTTCGTTCGTTCGTTCGTTCGTTCGTTCGTTCGTTCGTTCGTTCCATTCCGATTCATTGTGCATCTTTTTTAATTTGATACGAATGAGTCAGCGGTTTGTTATCTAATTCATTGAACAAAATGTGATTGAAAATGAGTATCGAAAAAAGCAAAAAAAAAAAGAAATAGAGGAACAGGACAAGCCACAAAGAACACGTCGAGTCGACGATGGCGACGAAATAAATAATTTTTTTTCTTTCGGTGAGGAAAGAACGCGTAAATCGCCCTCGACAGCGAACACTCAATTAAATGAAACATTCAAATGGCTTCTTTGTATTGTATGTTGTTGGTATTTTGTTTGTGTTTCATCGCAAAATCGAAAGAAATCTTGTAGAATAATAGAAATAGTGAAACTTCGAGACTCTGAGTTTGAGCGACATTGGATTCGGAAGGTGGCGCAATCGTTTGACCTTCTGCTTTTTTGACTTTTCACAAAGCTATGGTTTCCTTAGTTTTCATTAGACTAGTGTGCTTTAATAGGAAGTTATGCAATTTAATTGATTGCTGCATCGATGTCTCAACGCTAGTTTTGCCAAATCTGTTCATTATTTCGTTTCATTAAATGTTTTTTGCTCATTCTCTCAGTGTTTCTCATTTGTCAAGTGATTTTGGACTGAATTTCGGGACATGGAGAGAGCATGAAGGTGTTACATATCTTCAGACGATGAAATTCATTTTATGCTGAGCTATGGTACGGTTCCTTTTGATGATGCTACTGTAAAACCGAAAATGATTTCGAAAAACACCTAATGAATTTTCGTATCCTGAATCCGTGGGCAAAGTGAGATTGTAAGATGTAGAAGTTAATTAAATTTTGGTTCAAGGATCAAAATATTTTTGTATTTAGCTGTTTGCTGACGCATTTCCGGCATTTGAACGAATAGTGATTCGTTCAACTTGTTTCTTTTCATCGATCTGAACTATAATCTAGTGCGTTTCTCCGAATATAGAGTATTTTCCGCTTTAGTTGATTTCTTTAGCACATTTCCCCTTTGTTTTGTCTATTCGTTTGATTTTTAATTATCTTTGATTCATTCTGATAAATGATATTAGTGAATGAATGCTCGTCATTTAAGTTGCTGGACGTGGACATGAAATTGAATTGCATCGGCGGAATTACAAAAGGCGTACGCAGAAAAGAAAATAGGTGGAAAAGGTATGTTTTTTTTCCTATCCAATTCCACAACTAGTTTGAAGGTGTAAATTGAAAATATGCACATCATGGACGTAATGTAGTTTTGGTTAGACTTTTCCACAAACACACACACACACACACACACATCACATCCCAAATCGTCCCGAAACTTGTTTGAAGTTTGTCGAAAATCTCATCATGCTACGGTCTAATCGAACAGTGTACAGGTACGAAAAAGTTTATCAATTTTCAAAACGACCGTCAAAAATATCTAACAAATCACCCCAATATGTCGCAATGAATTGAGTCCCTGTACAATGAAGAGAGTCTGTTAATTAAAATCAAAGTTGACATGTTTGCGAGTGTAGTTATGTTGAATATTCCATTAGCATGGCCGCAATGAGTTTAGTTTCGCCATAGTTTCAATGTCAGCAGCAGTTAATTTCACAAAGGTTTTTCCATGAAACGTTTTTTCCCCAATATTTCCAACACGACTATGGGAATCTGTTTTTCTTTTTCAATAAAAATTCACCACAAGAGCACCACAGTACCACATAAAACATCACCGTTTTTTCAAAATAGACCCATTGCACAGAGCACAGTTGAAAATAATTGAATGACATTGGGAGTGAATGAGAGCATTGAATTACAAAATAATTGCCAAATAAGTAAAATTCAGTAGATATTTGGTGACAAATACATAGGCCAACTCGAAACACAGAACTATTAAAATTACCGACGTACACGAGTGGATATTTACAAAATCAGCCCTTTTGGTCAGCAGTTGGACAATTTAATGAAAGAAAATCAGAATATGTAAATAATGTAGAAAGAAACAAATATGTAAAAGCAATTAAAGATAAGCGACAATTGTAAAGGATCTGTATTAGATCAATAACTAATAAATAAATAAATAAATAAAATGCATTGGAAATGTTGTTTTTCATTAAAACACTGGTTGATTTCTACCGTCGACATTAAACTGATCAACATTACGATATTTTTTTTTCTTCCTCAGATATTGTAAGCAACAGTAATTCAATCAATGTGTACGATCCGATGAAATACTTAAATTTTATGGAACTCGAATTCATTCGACTTTAACATGGAAATTTATCATGAAAAAAATAGTTTTCGATTTTCATTGAAAACCACATCCACATTGATACAGTTTCCATAAAATATCGTCATAAATATCATGTTAAATTTCAGCCATTTTATTACTAAAGACCATTTATGGAGCAACTCTGCATTCGCATTTGCTTCACGCATATTCGAATGCGTATCATTTACTATAACATTGAATTCGATCTCCCTTGTTTAGGCTTTTTATTGGGCTGACTACTGCTGCTGCTATTGTCGCTGTCGCTGCTGTTGCTGTTACTGAAAGCCAAGGGTATATAAAAACGGGTGTTACTCTTCTATCGGCCGCGTATTTTTATGTATGTAAGCCGGAAAAAAAAGAACTGACGGCTAGAAACAATACGGCTTTGGTTCCGAATGAAAAATTGAATAGGAAACAAAGAGATGTGAAAATAGAGTCTCTGAATAGTATTCATAAATTGAAATGACAAAAGGGAAAACCGAAATCAGTTGCCGCTGTGTGTCCTCATTTTCGTTAGAAGTTGTCGACAATTGAAATGGTTTGGCACGTATGACGAATTAAAGCAAATCGAAATGAACGATGAAAAGCCGGGGCGCAAGGAAAAATAGAGATAGAGAAGGTACCAACGCACAAACACACAGACATATAACGAATACACAGGATATTCCATCGGAATAGTATATCTATCTATGAATGACGTTGCGCGTTGCATATATGTACGTACGTACCACAGCACATCACAAAAGCACACTGTCGAAGTACGAAGGCATGTAAATTCCATCCATTTTTATTTGAGATCTCATGGTCGGGCTGGTTATTTATTTGCATCAAGTCATTACTCATCTAAATATAAAAAAAAACTCCGATTGGATTGTAGTGGATGTATTTGGTTTGTTCATCCGCTAGATTAGACATTTCGTTTTTCATATCGGATGCGGAAAGTTCGAAATGTCAGCCGATAGTAAGAGAAAGAGAGAGAGAGAGAGAGAGAGAGAGAGAGAGAGAGAGAGAGAGAGAGTGAGAAAGGGAGAGGGAAAGAAGAACTATAATACATTTTCACTCCCCTGAAATGATGATGACAATGATGGGTTCCATTTAAAATGAAAGCTGCTCAGCATTTGAATCCATTTGTTGTTTGCAATGGCGAATGAACACAGAAAAATTCCTTCTATAGCTAAAAAATGATCTATGTAATGAATATACTTTACAGTATCAAATGTTGGCAAAGCCAACAACGCCAAAAAAAAGAACGATATGTAGCATCGACAACATGCATTTCAAATTATCACCTGGAGCTGTGTGCATTTTCATGCGTAGCTAATTTCCACATGCTCTCTCTCAATCTCGCTTCGCTTGATCAATCTATTGATGATGGACTAAGCGTATCATTCGCCTTGAATAAAAGTTTGCTGTTGAAAAGCAAACAGCAACTAGCAGCATCAGGCCGAAAATGTGCTCAACCGGAGTATTAGTTGTTTTCATTGTTTTGGAAATAGGCGAGAAACAAACTGTTTGCTCTTAGTGTGCGTCGAGTGCAGGAAGCACACATTCCTGTCTATCGTACACATTCACGTATTGCAAAAAATGCTGACATCTTTTTCTGATGCTGTTGCTGCTGTTGAGGCTACAGCATCGTTGGAAATTTTGCCATTGCATTTCTCAGCAGCTCAGTCAACAGCATGACCGCACTAATGAAATTACAAACCCGAAAATGGACGAAATTCTATTATTATTATTCGCTGCGCAAAACTAAAAACTTTGAAAGTGTCTGGTACACCAAATGTTTGGTTTTATCATATATGTGCATAAGCTAGAAATATAGTTTCATGCCCGAGATTGTGGGAGACTTGGTCTCTGTCATAAGACAAGAAATTTGGAAAAGAAAATGAAGCAAAAAAACAAAGTACAAAAACAAAATATACGGACACGTGCTGCGATGAGTCACACATATTCACACACATACTCATTTCAAAGTGAATCTGTGGTAAAATTGTTTGCATGCTTTATGAAAAGAATTGCGTGTATGGCACACACACAAACTCCGGTTTCTAGCCATTTTAAAGATAACAATTTTGCTTCTGCACTGACAGCCTTCAATATAACCCAAAATTCTTTGAATGAATATTTCAAATTTACAAGCTATGCCAAACCGTTTCTCAAACAAATTAGAAAGAAAATGAAGAGAATGTCAGAGAACGAATTCAACGTATAAAATCATTGAAAAACGTTGTTCTTCTATTAAAGTGTGGGAACTTTTCGGGTTTAATATCGAGATTGTTGTATTTTTATTGGTAAACAGAACAGCAAATACTGTTGTACAATTTGCGCCTAATTCTCCATTCTCCAGCAACTGAATTCGGTAGTTTTTTTTTTCTCTCCCGTTGAAGGGAATCACGTTCTTCGAAGAATATATTTCGGCTAGTTTTCCATTGTCAAATGAACACTGGCCTAATCACAAAACAATTGATGCGTGAGTTTTTCTTCTCTTTTTCTCACACTCAATTCGGCTGAATTCATCAGATCGAGTGAATGAGAGGATTTTTGGTTGGCATTTTAATTTGATGGTAGTGAAAGCAAGCAATGGATAAAATGATCAGCCGATCAAATAATACACGACATCTAAACGTGGTACATTATGGGAAATGTGAGAATTCGAATGATGAGATTTGATTTTTTTTTTCTTCTTCTAACTTGATCAGAGAAACGTGAAGAAAAATTCAATCAAAAACTGTCAAATGGAAAAAGCTTCCCGAAAACAAATGCCATATGCACGTACGTTGAGAAACGAACGTTCTCAATCTCTCAATCTCCGCACGCCTAACAGTGAAAATGGGAAAAACCGTCGGTTGTGCCGCTGTGTGTGTGCGCGTGTGAAATATTGTGAGTGAGAAATGAAGTATCATTATGTTTGGTGATAAATATAGACCGAATCAAAAATGTATCGACGCGCAGCTACCGTAAACTGAATATCAAACTGATCAATTTTTATTATTTGAATCGGCTTCATTCATCACGCATTCATTTTTTCTGCGTTTTGTTGTTCTTCCTGATTTTCTTTGAATAAGAAGAAGAGGAAAACGAGAAGAAAAAAAAGTTTCTAATTCGGTTTCTCTTCACATCAACAGTCAACCAACCAACCAACCAAAATAAAAACCGCCGAATACCTGTGTGGCTAGTGCATATGAGCAAGAGATGAATGGATTGGTCCAAGCCACGAATATTATTATTATGCATATCTCCCTCTCGACGAAAACCATAAACTTATAAAACTAATATCAACACAAACAATGTAGGCGAAGAATGAAAGAGAAAAAAATGGGCAAAACGAGAGAAGAGAAAGAACGAATGGAAAGAAAGAAAGCAAAAACCTACGAGTCGAGCCGAAGAAATTCATGAAGCTTGAAATTTGAATATGTGATGTGTGTTGTTGTTCATCATCATCATCATCATCATCATCATCATCATCATCATCATCGATCGATCGATCGTTTCACAATGTGTGAGATTTTCATGTGAACAACGATCGATTCAATTGAATAGCACACTCGGTTACAATTGATCGAATTTGAAAATTTGTTCTTTTGATTCCTTTGGCGCGCGTTCACGCTATTTACACATATCTCTCGATTTTTTCCTTGTAAATTAAACGAAACGCATCATGTGATATTCCATACATATCTTTCCCATCACACACAGGCAAGCGCGCGTTCTCACATTGCCACTCTATATCTCTCTCTCTCTTTAGTGCTCAGACAAACGAGAGACCGATCTGTGGGAAAATTGTGAATTGTGGCTGGTCGACGACAACAGCAATGGCATCGGCAACAGCAACAACAACAGAAACAAACAACATTTGGTTCATATGTGAAAATAATATTTGCATTGAATATTTGAAACGCTTTTTTTTCTATCTCTCGTCCGATTTTGTATCATGTATGCGAACGACATAACTATTGATTCTGATGAATAGCGTGAAGAAGAATCTTTTGTGCAGACGGACATGCTCTAATAGCTGGAGTCGATTTGAAATTTTTGTGGTCGGTTTGTTTGTGGTGATCGAATTTACTGATATATATATATATATATATATTTACGCTAAAAGGCCGAGAGTGAGGAAAGAAAGAAAAAAAACTATGCATTTTTGGAGCTCAACTGATTTGGTTGACAAGGAATTGGTTTGCCCAAAGCCGAATCGTTCTATGATTAGTTATTCTCTGATTCACTTTCCAAGTTAGCATAAACCTTTTCCTTATTATTTTCACCATATACATACATAGAGAGAGAGAGAGTGAACAGAACATGCAACAAACACTCACCTTGATTAATTTTTCGCGAATTTCATTGCTAAAGATGTTTGGATTCAATTTCTTCAGATCTTCGATGCGAGATTCGATTTCAGGCGTGGCCACCTTTGGCTTTGATCCACCTATAATAAAGAATATTAATTTAATTAATTTTATGATCATTTTTATAGATATATACCATCTGATATAGTCTGATAGTGACCTATCACTCCAGGACGAATCGAGCCAGTCTCTTGATAGCGGTTCAGGATCTTTGAGACGCAGCCGTGCGACACACGAAGCTGTCGCGAAATGACACACGGTCGAACGCCGGCAGCGGCCATTTCAACGATTTTCAGACGTGTGTGATTCGGAAGCGGACGACCATTGATGAAAACACCACCCAACTGATTAACACGACCCTGACCTGCAAAAAGAAAAAAGATTGAATGCAAATTGGATCATTTTTACAAAGTTTCCATACAAATGTGAGGTGGTATATCTGATCTAATTGAAATTTAATGTAATTTCTAAGTTTAGTACAATTTCCACCTCTTTTACATCGATGCCACGACAATGGGCCGATGAAAAATGACGTTGAAAATTGTTGCTGCGAGCATTAAATTTACTGCATGATAGATCGCAATGATGACCTCCATATGAAACCAAATAAGTAGTATATGTTGTGGGGGAATTTCCGACTCGTATTCCGACAATAGTGATTTTCCTATTGAATTCGTTGTGTGAGTTGCTAGTTCACAAATTCATTTAAAACTCTTAAATTCATATTTCGTATTACACGAAGCTTTGATTAAATCTCATTTGGATTCGATGAATTTCAATTTATCAATCCAAGATTTTGTGATGAAAGTTATTTATTCAACTATTTATTTGACATAAGACTAGCGTTGTGGCGGTTTTTGTCACATCACTATTAAGATGCGACTTTAAAAAAAGTTTTGTTTAATTGAGTGAAGAGGTGTGTTTTGTTTATTAGACGATGTTTTTGGCGGAAGCTTTTGAATTTGATAAATAAAACGAAGTTAAGGTACCCGGAGGCAACATAAAGTTTTGGATTCGCTTGTTGGTAAATCGATTTGTTCAGTTTGAGGGAAATTATTTAAATTTTTCTTCTTACCTTGGAATGGATATCCGGTTAAAAATGGTTTCATATTTGTCCCAGAGAAATCCATTGTAACTTATGTTTTTCTCTTTCACTGTTCACTGTTTTAGTTTCACAAGTAAATTTGAAAGTTTTGGTCTACGAAATAATGAAAAATGTATTGTAAATGTCCACTAGAACCTCACTTGATCACAATCTTTTCACCAATTTATCTATAAAATTATTAAAAATTCGTTGATTTATTTGGTTGGCTCTCTTCTAAACAGTCCGCGAACGTTTTTGTAAATGAACCTTTTTGATAAATAGTTGCAATTTGTTCACTTTAAAATCAAATTTTTTCCCTCTGAAATAAACACAACATTTTCAATTGGATTTTTGGTCTATTTTGTACACTTCCAAAAGAAAAATGTTCACTTGAAACATGACTCAATTCACTCAATTTTCGGTTCGTAATAGTTTTTCATAGGAAAGATTCAGTCGATTTTTGTGTTGCGAATCAAATTTCGTCGATTTTGATTAGCGCAGCTTTTTTTTACCTGATACGAATTTATAAATTGTAATTGTGAAATAATCGTGATTAATTAAAAAAATTGTTGATGGTTTTGATCGATTTGCATTTGGATGGATTTGTCACAATTACACACCATCGAATTCGGAGAGTGAGAATGTAGTCAAGTTTCCGTCGCGCGCGCCTCTCGACGAATAGCGAACGATCGTTAGCGATGTTTGTAACACAACGGGGCCGAATGATCAGCTTGGACTGAGTGCCACAGTGCACACTGTTTGGTGCGAAAACGCCAAAATCACACCGAAACGCGAAAAATCAAAACAAACCACGAACCACGGTGCTGTAAACTGAAGCACCACAAACACACAATACCCGAAAAAAGGCGATAATCGAAGCAAACGAACAGCAGAAGAAAGAAAAAAATTTGACGAAGGAAAAAAGTAAGAATTATGTATATACATCGGTGACTGCAAAATGTGAAATAGCGCGGCGGCCCGACATACACACATACGCGCGACTTGGATGATGGTTGATGACGGATAAATTCGAAACTAAATCAAGAGTGCATAGTCAAAAGAACTCTTTGCTCTAATGTTATGGTATTATTATTGTGTTGTTGTTGGTATATTTGTAAATTCGCTACACACATTTATGGCCAAGCGTGAACCGAAAAAAAATATAAGGGAGATAGATGGAAAGAGATGGCACACAGCGAACACGCTCGCTCGATACACGGCCGAAATTGACGGGCCGGTGCGAACGAGATGCACGACGTAAACACACACACACACAAAAACACAAACACAAGCACAAGCACACACCGCAGAGAGAAGTACAGAGCAATATGAGTAACAGCAGCCGCAGCGGCATCACTCAAAAGAATAAATGACGTGCGCGCGAAAAAGGAACAAAACACATTGAAAATGAACACAAAAATATAATCGCTCATAAGCAACAGCAACAAAGCCGATATGTTTCTTTTTTCATCGGTTGGTCGTTCGTCGCTGCTGCTGCTGCCGTTGTTGTCGTCGTGATCGTCGTCGCGGTTGTAGTTTTAGTCACTGCTCATGTGAGTAGCACAACGACGTAATCGAAACCGTAGTATCGAGAATCTAAATCGGAGTTATAACGAAATACACCGAAATGGACGACGCGAACCCAATGTATCCTAAACCACAAATAGACACAAAAAAAACAGCAACAGAATTTTCCTTCGCTTATGGAATGGAACAATTTTAACGGTTCAAAATGTGTGCGCTGATGTATCGATATTTATTATTGTTTTTAATCATGCTTCGATTCGCGGTACAAATCGATCGAACGAGAGCTAATGAAAAGAGCCAACAGTAACCGGGTCAACGGGATCAATGTGAAAAATTGGCGCTGATTTTATGAACTAATACAGCGGATGATTTAATTTATTTATTGAGATATGGTGTAAAATGATGTGGCCAACAAATAAAAGCGATCGTCTTATAATTTTCTCGGCCACAACATTTTCTCTGTTTTCTTTCCTTTTCTCCACTCTGCCTAACACTTTTTCCGATCATTTTTCAAATACTCCAATTCCAAATGTTGTTGTTCCGTATTTGAGTGTGCGTCTGGTCCGAATTGATCGAATGTGATTTGTTTTTATTATCCTTGCTTGAGCCGCGTCCGTCCTATTTTTTTTCGAAAACAATCTGTCGATGTTGCCTTTGATCGCAGTGTATTTATCATACAAGAGGCAACAAGGTGCGAGTTCGAAGCGCGAACATCAGCCACTTTTTTTTCTCTTTCGTTGTTGTTATTACTGTTGTTTTTTCTCTATAAAATAAGACAATATGCTCCGAAAAAAAAACTACAACAAATGATCTAATTTGACGATCGTCAGATGTTGTTTTGGAGGAGAAAACCCATTAGAAACCCCGTGTATACCTTTGAATTTCCTATTTCAATGTGGAAAGACGAGTGAACTGATTGATAGCGGTATCCGAAAAAGGAAAATGAAAGAAACGCCTTGGATCACACACTCGACAGCCGGAGATGCAAGCAAACATGATCGATATCGAACGATCAATGCTTACTAGAACCAATAAAACATACATCATTTGATTCATTCGTTTATCTCTCTCAGCTGATGAGAGAGAGATTTCAATTCAAAATGCTCAGGATGCCACGAAATGCTACGAAATCATTTATTTGTAAAAAATGTCGAGCCCACAAGCAAAAGTCAACCGATATTCCTAGGATCGCAATATGCTATTCTGTGGAAATCGTAACGAACACACATACACACACACATATACATGAACAAATAAAATACACGAACAAAACAGAAATACAGCCAAAGGCTCAACGCGAGTAACGACATCGACGAAGCGAAGAGGGACCCGACAGAGTTAGAGAGAGGGAGATTTCGAGTAGTTGAATTTATAGTGTTTGATTTAATACACGTATAAAATGAAAATAGCGCTGAGCTGCTCGCTCGCTCGCTCGTTCTTTCGCCTGTCGAAACCACGCCTTTTATTTTCACCATTTGTGAAGAATATGCCAGCGCCTTGTAGCCTTGTGAGCACGGGCCAAACAACAATACCAATTATTATATTTCCGTACTGTTCATTCACAGAATCTATGCTTCGTACATGTATTGTAGCATTTTCAATCAAAAACACGGTATATGTGTGTGATTTTTGATTTCATACTCAAGCATTTTCATTACAATACCAATATTTTGCCGACATTTTACTAATTTCTTGCACCCAAACTGCAAAAGTGTTGACATATATTATCTAATCGAACGTATTTTTATGTGTTTTTTTTTTCATTCAGAAGCCACTTCAAAAATTCGACATTGAAATTAGACAAAAAGTCCTCAGATACTATCAATTTACCCATAACAAAAAACATGAAAACGTTTGAAACGTTTTTCGATGGTAAAATCGAAGTATCGTCATTTTGGTGATTTCTTTACGTTTTTCATTACTCGTATTAGTTTTCCGAATATTTGTGCCAAAATCAAAAGAAAATATCGAGTAGTCAATGAGAGAGCAAATATAATAGATCTAATAATAAAAGTTGGCTTGTAGAAATTGAAAGAAAGTCAAAAACTCGGTTGAAATAACTTTTGAGATATTAAACGAAAAACCATTTCTTTTAACCCAAAGGAAATGTTAATTTTGCTATAACACCACTTTTTTGATGACCTAAAATGCAATGTATTTGTCGGCGTAACTGACCTACAATAGTTCGCTAGTTCGCATATTCTAGAATTTTGGCATATATCCAAGGGAATAATAAATTTGCATTTGGTTTTTCCAATAAAATGTTATAAGCAAGCAAGAGTTTTACCATAAAATAAACCGAAGTGAAGCAAGAAAAAAAACGCAGCTCAAATTGACTAAAAATAAACAAAACACATCCAAATAAAACGAAGCAATACGCTGCGAATGTTTTCTTCCGAGAGATTTGTTAAGTTGATCGGTCGATATATTATTATTCAATCCTTCAAAGTTAACATTTGCAAAATCCTCTTTTCATGTATTTTAAGCTGGTTTTGCTTGGATTGGATGCTGCTGCTGTTTCGTATGCTTCTTTGTGAAAGCGTAAAAAAATGAAAGTTTTTGTGTTAAATAACAGAAACAGAGACGACACCACATCAAGAACGTGCGCGACGAAGACGGTAAATTGAAGCAGAGCAGACTTTGCGAACTAATCCCAATAATGCGCCACGAGAGAAGAAGGACGGTTTCTGTATAATTAACCAAGAAAAAAAAAATAATGATAAAAAAACATCACGCTGACTTCAATTGGTCCGAACCGGCATGAATGCGACTACAAAAGAGCTTTAAAGAGTGTCATGCGGTCCAGTTTTTCACTTACATTCACTGCTACTCCATTTAATTTTTGAATTCAGCATTGTTTTTCTTAAATAAAAACGCATACAATCTGTCATTATTTCTTCTTCATCGGCTGCTGCTGCCACTACATTCACCATTGAATCGTGTGCTTCTCATTTGTTTAGTTTTCAAATTGAAAAAGAGAAAAAAAGAATGCATTGACCAGCGTGTCAGTATCGGCCGATACAGTTGAATGCATGAACTGATGTAGATAAAAAATGATTTTTTTCGGTTGGGGTTTTCCTGTACACTATTATGTATGATACGGTCGACGTTTTTTTGTTATTGAAGACTTTGAAAGGGCTCTTGGGTGCATTCGCCATTGGCACCACAGTGTTCCACAGACAGAAAAAAATATATGAGATTACGCTTTTCCATTGTACTACATTGCATACATCATAAGACATTTCGCAGCGGAAAAATACATGTTTATTTATTGAAATAATTGCTGTAGTTCGGGTTTTCTTGAACAAAAACCCGTGAAATATCCGAAACCTTGAAGGGGAATTATTCAATGCCAAAGGAATGTTTGAAATCTACTAATTTCACCATTTTTCAAACCGTAAGGAGCATACGTATCAAACAGAATTTACGCTCTCTTGAATCGTTCTTAAGCTTTCTCTCTCTATTTTCATCTTGTTCCATGGTCTCCCAATCTGAGACCTAGTTCACCTTAGAATGCGCTTGGCAAAGACCCGCTGTTCAACGCAGTGCACATTTAATCTTTCTGTTTATTTGAAGTGCATACTGAGTAATACGATTTGATTGGTATGTTGCCTTAAATGCATGACACAATTTCTAGCTGGTAGAACAGCAGCACAACGAATTCAATTCAAACGGTTTCGTCAACGGCTAAATGCCATAACGAAACCAGACGCTAATTAATTGCGATTCTTGTTTTGATTTCGTTATCATACCGAACTGCAAATGAATTTTTGAAGTGCTATTAATGAGTCACACCCAAACAAAACGTTTTTTGCTTGTTTTCTTTCTGCATGTTTATTGTGATGCAAAAGCAATGATGGCTCTGAAATAAATGAGAAACTCCACGCAACCAACAAAATGTCAAGGGGAGTATTATTTTCTTATCTTCTCAGCGTTCTGCATTCGAAACTGCTGGTGCTTTACATTTTCCCTGAATATTAATGAAACTATTTCACTCAAAATAATAATGATGTTAAATTTCGTTAGTTTGCCGTTCAATTGATAGCTAATTAAAGCATGCAGTAGCTCGGACTGGAAGCTTCATAACGTGTTGAACGTAGTTGTAAACGTCTATGATGACGAAATAATCATAGAAATCGAATCAATTTCCAGGTAAGTGTACACTTCAAACTTCCATCCATTGGCAGTTTTGTGATAATGAGAATCTCAGTGGGCATTCGATCTGGGCGAATAAGAGCAGAGACACGGCAAACAAAGAGTTTCTCGACATTCGATGCTCATACGCTGAAATATTCATATGCACCGCTCAGCAGTGACGTGTACG